ACGCTACCTCAGACAAATTACAAAAAATCTTCAGAAAAAGCAATTAGAAGTTCCAGGAAATTTATATTCGGATGTGACAAAATCTGTTATACGCACCACTTTCTCCTTCGCAAAATAAGAAAATCATATTCGGGTGTAACCAAACTGTTTGTCCCACAATCTTTACAATAAACAAACAAGAAGAAGAAGAGGAGAATGTCGACCGCTGAATACTAAAAAAATTAGATATTATTTTCATGCTGACATATTTTTCATGAAAGCCCGCATATTGGAGGATGCCCTAAACATAATGTAGCGAATATTTAGCAAACTTAATTTACATTCTGAAAATTTTATTATTTTTCATTGTCCGTCCTAAAGAACTTGAAATTAGACTTTGAATATACTGGCTTGCTTTTTAGGATAATCCGTATATGTTATGGCCAAGGAAATAGATCTATGTAATCCAAATTTCCTACCGATAATTTTTTTGCTAACTTGTAACTGTGGGCCAATTTTCATCACATTAAAAATCCAACCTTTTTCTGAAAGGTTTGCTATGAGACAATGAGAGAAGTCGGTATTTATGTGTTAACGCCACCGCGACAAAAATTCCATTATAAAAGCCAATAAAAAACCACCTTACTTACTTGTATGCCAATAAAAAGCAACCTTGTTATTTGTATAATTACTTGGGTAGTTGCGCGCGAAGTTATATTTAGGTTTTCTTGTTGCCTTGTTGTTTGCTGATTGTTAGATGCACTTTTGGTGTTACGAAAATACGTATATGGGATTTGCAAACAACAAAACGAGAGGCATTTTCATTTTTCCAAGAGCGAAATATTTTACATAAAGAACGAAAATGTGCCAGTTTTCATGACATGAAGCTTTATTTTGGTGAACGTGGCTTTTGGAAATGTAATCTGAAATAGCGTAGTCAGCAAATGTGACTTACAAAAGACAACTGGCTTCACTTAAGCAGAATTACATTTTGTTCAGCCTTGAGATTCATATACTGCTGGTGCGAGGAGTTGACGTCAATTAAATTTTGTAAAAAGGAACTTGGCTTATCGAACAAAACTGTTATACATTGGAACAAATACATGCGTGAATTATGTGTCCTAGATATGTCAAATAAACCAGACAAGAAGATAGTTGGAAATCTTATATAGAGTGGGGTCCAATCATTTAGACTCATGTTGTTTAAAATTTGGTTCATTCAATTTTTATGTCAAATTACTATCACGGACATATTTTCATTATAAACCATCAAGAGCTAGGTCTTTTTGTCGTGGTAAGATTGGTTCCTATATACAATACCAAGATTCAATTTTCATATTGAATGTTATGAGAGATTTAAAAAAATTCCCCCAGCCGAACCAAACTTTTCATACCAATTTAAGATCTAAGCGAGTTTTGTTGAAAATTTTTCAAAATTGCAATTTTTGTCCATATATCGAGTTTTGAAAATAATGCGTAATGTGGGGAGTGGTCAAAAAAGTGGAACGATCCTAACCATTTTCAATAGCGTTCGTGCTTGCGTCAAAGTATGTCAGTATACGGAACTTGTCAAATTGCCTTAAAAATAACGGCTCCTAGGTAAAAATAAAAGAGTGCAAAACGGACAGAATCACTTTCTAAATCGATCAGTATAATAAAAGTTGGATATCTCTTCAGCCACTCTGGGTGTTACATACGTCGGTACAAACTTAATATATCCTGTACCACTAGCGGTGTAGGGTATAAATAATAAAAGCAAACGTTTAAGATTACGGCTTATGGGTAACGAGCGAAATACCTACTTTGATGCTTGCTGTAAAAATTTTTTTGCTTCTGAAAAACAGAGAAGGTCTTATTTTATGTTATATTGTGGACGTGCTCCTTGACAGATTTGTCCCATTTTCTACACTAAATGACGCGCAACGACTTCTATAAAACATTCATTTTTACGACCAAGAGAATGTTTACCATACAGACATTACGTCGACCGACGCTTAGGTTGATTTAGAATTACATGCTAATTTCGAATAACAAATCAAATCAAATATTCAAATGGTTTGACGAAATGAATATATCCGGATCCTTTTCTGGTGCGTGTGTATATAAAACATATTTTATAAGAAATAAAGAGTAGAAATCATAAATAACTTCTGCAATAAAGAAAAACGGAAAAAATGAAAAAAAACATCATTTTGGCATGTGTACTATGAGTCTATTATAGTGTTAATGAGTATGCTGCAATAACAAATTTTTGTACATGCACAATGGAGTAATAAGATGTAATAAAACGCAGAAATAAAGAGCTCCATTGGCTGCATGTAATTATGTTACGTAGCAGAAAATCATGTTCCTTTTCAAATACTTCGTATAGGCATAGAGATATTTGGTTCTTGCTGCGCAGCAAATTTATATTTATGAATTAAGACGACGGCTCAAATAATATCGCATAAAGAAACGGAATTGTCCATGATCCAATCGGTCGACATTTTCTAAAGTGGTTCGTGCCATATTGCGAGAGACGCAATGTTCTAAGTCAGCTAAATCCGGCGGATACTAAGGTAATACATTATCAATCGTCTACCTACGATGGCTTGATTTTTAGTTTTGCTAACTTACTGTTTCAGCACTAGATGTCCAAATTTTAATGTTATCATCTAAGCCAGAAGTTGCCAATATGGGTACAGAAGGATGTGGTTCCAGACAGTTAACCTTTACACATTTAAAATAACTGTAATAGCGTACAGTAACTTAACTTTGTCCAGTAAAAATAGTAACTTACCACACCACTAATATCGCCCGGCATAAAATTAACTATAGCTTCAGTATTTTTATCCCAATAATATATGTTGCCACAATCACTGCCACTGATTATATATTCACAATTAGGGCCAAAGAAATTTACACCTTTTATGGTTTGCTGGTTACTATAAAACATTAAAAACCGAAAGAAAATTATATACGTACATACTTACTTAAGAAAAAATGGGAGCAAGCTATACTTACGCGTGTCCTTTGTAGCAATGAAGAAATGCTCCTTTTTCATAGCACAGATTATTGAACAAATATATATTCTCATTGCCATAGGTGGCCAAAATCTCAGTACCTGTGTTATTATAAACGCAACAAGTTACTGAGGATATACTACCATAATCGAGCAAATGCTCTGGACACATCATGTGTAACGGATTATTTTTCATATTTCGTTTGTCATACACAAGTACAAAATTATCACAGCCACTAACACAAAATTCAGGCATATAAGGATGATGAGAAATACTGTAGAGGCCTACTTTTTTCGTATATTTACGCTGTAAATCTGATGATAACTGTAACATTTTATTGCAAGGTTCATTTGAACGTAAATCTTTCCCCTGTATAGAACCGTCTTCTCCAACGCTTATAATCTCTGAAGGATTTTGAGGACAAAAGAC